TATGATTTGCTATAATATAATTCCCTAACTTGGCACCTCATTTTTCCAGAACCTACTGAGAAAACTACAAACTACTAATCAAGGGCGCAGATATGTCTTGCCAGGCAATCGAAAACATGTATGAAATTTACAAAAAGAAAAATGATACGCAATAAAATCTTAGCCTTTGCATCTATAAAAAGTGAAATGAAAAGTCGTAACTTCTAAGCGAAGCAATTCGGGTTTTTTTTCAGAGTCACTACTTCGCTAACTTCATATTTTATTGCTGTAAAATTTTTACGATGGGTACAAGCGATACATGACACCGATAATAATATTGTCAAGCGTGAGAAGGCTGCTTTAAGAGTAGACAGATAAGCAGAAACATTTAAACTCTTCTGCTTTTGGGATTTTCCAGTTCTTACAGTAACATATGCTATTGTCTTCAAAGTTCTAGTCATTTCAAAATGCTTTATGAAGTGAGAATAGAGATAGTTGTGCTATTTAGTGATTTATTACATTTTCCTTTGCTTTATCGCTGATTACTAAGCTCACATCTATACGGCTTTCATCATTTCTATGTTTGAAAAAGCAAAAAACGTTTGAAAGTTCCAGTAAACGTAAGGATTCACAAGAACCTCCAGTGAAGGTCCAAAAATAAATAAAGATTCATAAGCGCCTCGAACCAAGGTCATGATGTAATTTTTTAGTGGTAGTTTTTGGCAAGACTGCGAAGACTTCCATAAAAGTTTGAAGAAAGAGCAAAGATATGGAAAGGGACAGGTTCATGCAAACATATGCTATATGATTTATGTGCAGATCTTTTCGGAGATTAGAGACAGCCAAAATTTTGGTGAAAGTCGACAAAGGCCAAAATGCATAGAAATTTGAAAATACTGAGAAAAAAGGATGAGGAGTTCAAAACAGCAAGCCGAGAAATTGAAAATAATAAGAAATTAACTGTCAAACTTTGCTCAATAAAGTGAAAAGAATGAAAGAAAAATGAGAAGTGCAGTAGAATTGCAAATTTGAGTTACTCTCCAAATTTGATACTATCAAGCACTCCATTTACAGACTTTTTTATCTCAAAAAAACGTTAGTTGGCATGCACTTTCATACGGTTGAGTTGCTGTGTGACTCGTGCATTTGTGTTTCCGTTTTCATTTTCGCGTATCCGGAGTGCATTAAATAAGTATAATAAATAGATAGATACATAAATGATGAAGTTATAATAAATGCAGTAGCCAATTTCCAGCAGCAGACAAGTACAAAAAATTAGCTGCAGTAAGTGCTCTCTACATGAAATGTGCATTGCCAAAAGTATACTGAAATTCCAGACGTGAAGCAAACAAAGTTTATCACCATAAAACCTGTACAGCATAAGAGAGGAGTCATTCCATTTTTTTTGAAATATTAGGTTGTGTAATAAGTTCGTTCGCATTTTTTGTTTCGATTTTTTCTCGATATTTTACAAAGCATTTGGCATAGTGTTAGTATGCGTTCGGAAGCTCTAAGTTTGCTCTACCAAAATACTATCATTATATTCTCAGTTTTTGAAAATTTGGATAAAACATTCCACTACAAACCGAAAAATCTGAAGTGGCAAAAATCCCATTTTCGACATCTTTTTTCTTCCTTAGTTTTCCCGTTATTATTTGTTGAAATTTATTCAAAAAGCTTGACTACGAAGAAAAACAACTGACTAACAATTTATGCATTTACTGATACTATTTACGATTGCCCATTTCCTTTCACCGACCGTTTAATGCAATTTTTGCAAAACTCGGCCTAGCAAGGCTTTGCCGCAGCGGTGTTCGTTGTCTCGCGTCCGTGGGCTATGTGTCCCTCGAATTCTGAATTTTTGACTATATAAGCCATTCATTCGATGATTTAGCGATCATAGACCACATGTCTGCCAGTTTCTGGATTATTCGGCTACCACCTTTCTTCAGAGGTGCCTTCAGATGCTTAACGTTGACACCAAAAAGACATAAAAACATACCTATTTTTGAGCTTACATATGAATTGTTTTTGAAAGGTTTTAGCACTACGGGTAATCTGCGGGAGCTATAGTATTCTATTTATACATGTCGCAAAATTTTTGGGCTGTTTCTTAAGCGCTCAAACCCATTCGAGGTGCGGCATAATATAGTTGTCGAAAATGGGATTTTTGCCAATTCAGATTTTTCGGATTGTAGTCGACTTTTTTATACAACTTTTTACAAACTGGGAATATAATGATGGTATTTTGGTAGGGTAAACTTAGAGCTTCCGAACGCATACTAACACTATGCCAAATGTCTTGTAAAATACTAAGAAAAAATTGAAACAAAAAATGCGAACGAACTTATTACACAATATATATTATCAAAAAGTCATGATGCCACTGTAAGTCCAAACCGTTTGAAATGAGCTGGACGAAAAGCAGATAGAATCTTTGTATAGGTCATAGCTTTTCGAGTCCAAAGAGGTTGGACTGACGAAGTTTGGAAAGGCCCAATGGATTGCCGCAAGGGCCTAATATGCTCATCCTGATAGAAAGAAAAGTGCGCGAGTTCGTCAGTGAATAAAATAAACGATGCGAGAGCGGGCGCGGTGGCGGCGGCGCACGAAGGGCAGGCGAGGTGTGGCACGAGTGCAGTGATGCATGTCCAGGACAATTAAGTGTGAACGTCGTGGAGCTGCGCCATATTACCATCGAGAGATGAGGTGGTCGGCCGGTCGGCTGCTGCTGCGGTCATCTCAGACCCGAGAGACAAACGCTCGAGCGCGCACAAATTGCGCGTGTACTCTGTCGCACTCGGAGTGTGAGTCTCTGTGTGTAGGCATCGCCTTGAAGCGACCTTGCTATGGAGTGTGCCGTCCGTCTCGATGTCCATCCGGCCCCCCAAACACACACACACACACTCACATTCACGATCAAACGAATACCGTCACCGAGGGGCAGTTGGCATCTTCGTAGACAATCTCCGAGGATTTCCGCGGGATAAGCAAGATTTACAGCGCTTTCGCAGGATTTTGGTATTTTGAGAAAGTCTATGAGCTGAAAATGGATGCCGCAGGACGTTTAGACAAGCTAATCGAAAATAGCCGCCGGAACTTTCTCAAACGTTCTGTAGAACTTCCTGTCAGCTGTCTAAGTTCGTCATCTGGCTCCGACGCCAAAAATAGTGGAATAACTTGAGAAAGAAATGGTCTGACATGCCTTTTAGCCTATACAGCTTCTCAATAAGGTTTTCGATACATTGTGGTGCCGAAAGTATGGTTTGACCACCACCGATGCACTCAATTTTATACCTGGAGTTTATCCACAACATTATGAAATAAATGAAAGATTTCGTGGCTGAACTCGATCATGTTACTGTCAACTATGGTAGAAGCAGTAAAAATTTGCTAGGATGTAGTAACAAAACAACAGGCTACCTATTAAGTGGCTTTGCAAAACTGCACTAACCTGTTTCATCGCCTTTTACACTCTTGAGCTGTTAGGAAAAAGTAGTTCGTTTGGATGCTGTTTGGAAAACTCGGCCGCCAATTACGTTCTACTGTAGGGTCATAGAAAGACATTCAGTATTGCTTGAACCAAGCCAAGTTTATTCGAATTTCACAAAAAATATAGAATATTGGGCAACCAACGCGATGCTTTAATGTTAAAATCGTTATCAAGACTAGATTATTATTGCAAAGAGTACAGAATTATGATTAATCAACCCCATAAATTGATGTAAAAATGATGATTTGGAGCTTCTTTCATATGACAACGTAGATTTATAGATGCAACATCGCAAGTGATAAACTATAACTGATAAAAAGATAGAAACTAGGTCATTTTCGAAAAAGACGACTAATTGTTTCGAAAAGGACGACTAATGACTTCACAGGACATATCACCGCTTAAATAAGGATAATACTTGATGACCGTGGTCATCCGTAATGTAAACCAATAGATACGCTCTAAAACGATGACTTGAAAAAATTCAGTCATTTGCGAAACGATTCATACCCATCACATCCTCAAACGTCGTGGATGTGATGGGTATAAATCGAATTCAGAAAAAAATTTTTTTTACAAATGATGGAATCAAATTGTTTGTGCTCATTTCTCAGGCAGTTTACATTTGCTCAAATGATCATAATGCTTACAAGTGGTTCTGAGTCAGAGAAACTTTTGAGGAAATTATAAAAACTACAGGCATTTTTGTGAACCAAGAAGCTGCAGTTGTGCGGTATGATGTCAAACTATCAAGTAAAGTATATGAAATGGAGAGATAATCCCACATATGAAGGTTTAGCTGATAATCGCCATAGTACATGTGATCTAGTGAAATCACACAACAAGCGCTCTTATATTCTTGAAACATTATTCAGCCTTACGCGTCAAGCGAATATGGCTCCTTATAAAGTAAGCCATTTTTGCGACCTCAAAGTGAAATAAGATAATCATGGCTGCATAAAGTAACGTACTTGATTTTATAATGGGAAAAGATTCAAGTAGTTCTGTACTTTATAGTTATTTCCCAATAAAAAATTTTCATCTCTCACTGTTGGCAGAAGCCGCATTAGCATTGCGGGTAAACTTCTTGTGTTCAATTGTACGAACGTTTGAAAGTCCAATGGACCGAAATACTGCCATACGGAAATCAGGTGGATAATTCCACTTTCAGTTATGGAAAGGATGTACAAATAATTCAAGCACACAATGTTGGCCAAAGTCAAGAAAAAATACCGAGCTAGCTCCACACCTGCATTTCCAAAAATTTTGTATTGTAACCAAAAACTTTCCGTAATTGTGCTCAGCAGCTATAAGAGTGATGTAATAACTCTTTATCAAATAAAAATAGATTATGAACCATAAACATAATTTATGGGATTTTTGTACTCGTTCCGTCTTTGTCTTTGCTCTTTGCAACTTCATAACAAAACATATGGGATGGGAAGAATGATACAGGAGTTAATATAAGCAAAAAAACCTAAAGCACAAAAACTTGTCCAAAAAGACCTAGTTCAAATTCTGCCCTCACCTGTGCAAAAGCGACATCATGCCAGAATTGTTGATCCCGAAATGCGGTAGCTGGTATGATTTTCACGGTCCCTAGAGGGGCGAATGCCATTTCGTTGTCTACGTTCTTTCTGTGGTCACACCATTATCGATCCGCCTGTAAAATGACATGTTCCGAAAATTTACATAACCTAGAAACCTGGACACAAAGAATTGACGAAGAGGAAAAGTACAGGTCGAGGTTCGGGGTCGTGAGAAATATAGTAGCAGGTTATATAGTATTTTTAGGAGATAAATTGCAATACAAGTAGGAGTACAGAGAGAGAAGAACACGGAAGAACTTTCGCCGAGAAAATAAAGAATGATAAAAAAACTGACCAAACCTTTTAGCATCATAAAAGCAATCTTAAGTTTGTGCACTTTATCGCGAAGTACATCATAATAATAAGAAGCCAAGATGAAAAAAACCGGCTAACGAAAAAAATGGCGTTTAAAGTGGAAGGAGTGGTCGAGCGCGAGACCGCTACCATCCGTAGCCGAACCGAGCTGAAGCGATGAAGAAAAAGAAGAATGAATAAAAAAACCACAAAGAGCACAACGGATGCGGAGGATAAGTGTGTTTTCGAGTGGTGTTTAGGACGATTTCGTGAAGATCTGCAATTTGTACACGCTCACGATCCCGATTTTTTTCTCACACACACTGAACGGAGAAAAAACTCTGGGCGACTAATTTTATCCTCATAAAAACAGGAAAGTTTAGCAAGTGAACAAATTTGGTGCGAAGCAATTGGGAATATCATGAGAAACTGAGCAAAAAAAATTGTAGTTTGAAAACATTCCTTATCGTGGTAAGAAAGACAGTAATATGGAATAAATGTCGGGCACCATGTTGGCGAAAAAAATTTAATCGCATAATTTCGAATATGAATCTTGTATCATATCAAAAATTGTATAACTGAGTAGAATTATTATGGAACAACATCTGCTAAAAAATTAGCGATTTCGTCTGAATTTTTTAGTCAAAAAATTGCCTTTTTAAAAAAGTCTGGCATATTCAAGACAGTGAATTGTCGATCTGATTTTTTCGATGAGTTCCAAAAATAAGCGAGAGGGCTGGGAATTTTCGAAAAACATGATTAATTTTTTCGCCCCAATATATCGTGCCGTCGTTTAGTCTGTATCATTATTTACTTACATACTTCAGAAACTGCTCGTACGAACCGTCGATTTCCTATCAGTTTTATTCCTCTTCTTACTAGTCCTCTTATATTTTTGAATAGAACCATAGAAATCATAATAGCATGATGAACGAATGAAGGAATGAGATAGGATGAAATAATATGATAAAACTATGTAAATAGCTGCGTCTCATATAACCATCAATAACTTGTTATTGCACAGAAATACTAGTTTTACAGCAAACAGTTTCTAGTGAGACAGGACAAATTCTTACTCACCAGCCCCCCCCCCCCTCCGCACACCCATCTGCGTCATTCCTGTCAAAAAATTTGGAGAAAGCAGAAAGCGAAATGTAACCGAGAATGCAAGCAATGAAGTAACATCGACATAATTCTGAGAGCTGTTCGACCTGTTCAAGCACATCAACAACCCCATACGAACTAAAAACTGGAATTACCAGCTGTGAGCTACGATGCTAAATGCTAAACTCTTGACATTATATGTCGCTTAGTACCGGTTTGACTTTTTAGCATAGCTTAGCACCGGAAGCAGCTAGGCTGTCGGCGAGCTGAGTATAAGCAACGATTTATAAGCAATGTTTTGAATATTACACCAAAACCACAGGAAATTAAGCCGTAAATTGACATCTCCTGACACCTAAGTGTAGTAAGAAGCTGATCACTTTTGGACACATGACGTTTTCTCTTACTAGCTATTATTGAAATCAGTGCGTTATACGAGTTGTTTGCCTCAGCTTTTCCTCCTATTTGGGTTGAATACTAGTCTGAGTGATAGAAATAGAAAGAGTTTAAATCTGAGCTAAAAAAAAAACAGAAACGCGTTTTGGGCGGCATGAGTTCGAGAGTGAGGTAGAATCAATCTGTAATCATACAATTGAGACTCCATCCCTTTAGATTCTATTATAAATAGAATATTATAAACGTTTCACCAAATGCAAAATTAAGTGAATGAGGTGGTTATCTGCTAGTGTACTATAAATAAATTAGATAAACAAGAATGAGAATGGAAATAATGAAATTTTTGACCACCTTTTGCAGAATCCCAGAATGCTGAAAAAAGCAAGGAAAGGATGACGAGATGCTCCTCTCCAATAAATCCGTAATATGGGAAAGTCAATTCCTCCATAATGTGAAATAGTCGTTGAAAAAATAGTCATTCTGGGATCATAAATTGCTTTAAAAAATCTCTATCAAAAGGCAGAATTCCCCTCCACCTCCCAACGCGACAGTTCTGATTGGACTGTAAGTTTCTATTAGCAATGGAGCAGCATTGAGTGAACGGAGCGCTTCTACGGTAATGCGCACGTTCCCATCCATATCTTACGTGTGCCTTTGACTATGTAAAACGATTTTAAAAAAATGGCATTCTGCTCCTATACTAATCTAGACAGGCCGAAGCGTTGAGAGAGGGAGCAAAAATAATTGACAAATGACATTGACGCGCCTTGCGATAACTATCAGTCGTTAAGTGACAAACGCTTGGCGACAGCGCCGCCTTCATTTATGTGAGTCAATTGGCATATTCGTCCTTCCCCCACAAGCATTCAATTCAGTGCTTAAAAGCTCCTAAAGCGATAGTAGTTTACGGTATATTTATAGAGCTGCACTCTTAGCATGTAATGTCACCAAAAACGTGGTGTTTGTGCACGCGTAAATGCACTATGAAATCCGAATAGGCCCAAGGTGTTAGGAGAAAGCAAGGGTGCGTTGTATGGCTAATGGAGCAGAGGTCGGTATTCGAGAAATGCGAACAACTAGAACTGTGCAAGGAACAGGTTAGATATGAGGCCTCGCATTAGTTTCTGCGAGGTTTTCTCGTGAGTCATCGGAAAGTTGAGAAAACATCACTAACACTTTTGTAAATTCTTTGTTTTCTACAGCAAATAGTGAGGTAATTACACTTTTACCCTATCGTCTTTTTCGCTGAAAATGAATGGTAAAAGTACTTCAAAGCTACACACTAAGCATTTCCTACATCTTTTGGCCGTGTTCGCTGAGTATAAGGTGAAATATTACTACGAAACCAATGCCTCTGCCTCCTGCCATTTACCTTCTGTTCACTTACGATCTTGCTTTAGAATTTGGTACAGTCCCTACTTAGTCAAAAAGGACTTCCTTTTTGACGTTTTAATTTGATAAATCCATTATTCTAAAGCTTCAAAGACCCCATCACTTTCTAGACCAAAGTTTTTTCTAGAACTGCAAGAATATCGTTCTCAGCTCTTGAAGAAATACCTAATTCGCTGGATGGTCTAGACCAATGCATATTCTTTTTGAAGGTATCAAACTGGCTTATAAATCTTTCCCATAGAATTATTCAGAGAAGATTATATCCAAAGAAAACCATCACTATGAAACAGCACCATTACCTTGCTTTTAAATTTGTAAGTAAGAAGATAGGATACTTTTTAACCGTCAAATTGCACTGAATTGATTCATAAAAGCAAGAAAACGTGGGGTGTTGTTTTGCGGTAATCTCAGCAGTTTAAACAAACCGGTATGATACAGAATTAATGACATCAAATAATTTGAGAGAGTCGAAGAAGCATCTTGCTGCAGCATGATGCCCTAAGTTATATATCACAGAAACTTTTTCCCGTGGCAGAAAATTGCATTTTCCGAAACTCACAAGTGTGCATGTCAGTAACGAAGCGATTCGAAACTTGTTGTAGCAATAAAGATCGTTTGGGAATTATCCTTTGCGTTGTTATGTTATGGTTACATCATCCAACAATTTGGCAAAAACGATACGCCGACAAACGAATGGGAAGAATGGGAAATTTCATCACCGCAATTCAACGAATGTACCTATATAAATAAGCTCATTAAGCAAATGCAAACGAACACAACTTTCAAAAACAAATAGCATAACGTAAGAAATATAATATCGAAAGCGTTATCAATTAGCAATTATGCGATGGAACAGGTCTAAGGTAATGGAAAAAGCTTAGAGATTGCTTTAACGTAATTGAAACTGGGAAGAAAGATAAACGACTTTGAATGTAATTTATCGGTTTTGGACATAAGGAATGCTGGGAACTTATGATTTCGATAAAAAGTTGAACAGAACTTGATCATAACCATACATATGATTAATGGGAAACCAGAAGCAACACATTGGGGCAAGAAAATTCTAGAGAAATAAACACTCAGGAAACTTGGTTTTGAGAAGACAAAACTTGTGTATAATAATTCCCTAGACATATGGGAAAATTTTCATGAGACAAGAAAAAATCTAGGTTTGACATCTTACAGAGGTTGATCGAGAGGGAATAGTCCCCTCTCCTTCCTCGATATGGGTCGCGAAAGTTTTGAAGGAGCGCAACTTGTTTTTACATTTGATTGATAAAGATATTTTTGGAATTTTCAAAAATGCATCAGATTTGTTAAAAAAGTCATCGGGATTATAGTCCGACAAAAACTGGAGAAGCATCTCAAAATTTTGGAGGACGTTCTTAACGCCACACCCCATCCTTCCAAAAAAATTCTGTTCGCGTCCCCCGTTCTCGAAAATTTTTCTTACCGCCTTTTGTGAGATGTTGAGCACTTCCTCTTTCTCCAACTTTATATTGTTATAAACCCAGTCTGCTTCATTGTCTATATTGGCAAAATTTGGCTTCATTTCCAGAATCCAAATCATTAATCTTTGAGTTCTTCACGAAATTCACAACTCTATGGGAAAAATAAAGCTCAAGGGAACAACCCCAATGGTAAAAATTTGACCCAAAGCTTCAAATCAAAAAGAAAACTTCCCAAGACATGCAAGGTGTTCAGACTGATCATGGGTCAAAGTTTTTTGAGAAATTCGTTAACAAAAATTCACCTGATTGTTGCGAAAAAAACACTTAAAGCATATGATAGAACAGTAATAGCTACCAGCAGATGATGTCAAATGATAATGACTGGTTTGTCCAAAACATTGATAGGCACTGAAAACAGTCATAACTTATAGAGTTTA